AAATTTCTTATCAATATATATATATACTTCTTCAGAAAGCAGGTCACACACAGGTCACCCTTAATTCAATACCTCCCTTTGATTTTAATGGGTGCAAGATCAGGATCCCAGAAAGTAATGCATTTGAGCTATCAGAGTCAGTGAATAGCTTTCCTCCCTGTCTTCCCCATGCTGACAGCAAACATCTATAATGGCAAGTAACAGGTAAACTGATACTTTGCTATTAGGAAGCTGACAGACCTCTAATATATAACTGAAGCCCCATGAGGAGAGGCTGAGGGAGCTGGGGTTGTTTAGTCTGGAGAAGAGAAGGCTCAGGGGAGACCTCATCACTCTATACAGCTACTTGAAAGGAGGTTGTAGCCAGGTGGGCATCGGTCTCTTCTCCCAGACAACCGGCAGTAGGACAAGTGGGTAGGGTATTAAGCTCTGTCAGGGGAGGTTTAGGTTGAATATCAGGAAGAAATTTTTTACAGAGAGAGTGATCAAACATTGGAATGGGTTGCCCAGGTAGGTGGTGGATTCACTGTCCCTGGAGGTTTTTAAGATGAGACTGGATGTGGCACTGAGTGCCATGGTGTAGTAACCACGGCAGTGTTGGACCAAGGGTAAGACTTGATCTCAGAGGTCTTTTCCAACCCGGTTGATTCTATGATTCTATGAATTAGAGAATGATTATAAAACACTCCTAGTTCACTTCTGGTCTCTTATAACTTCCGATTCTTTCCCCTTGGTGTTTTCCCTTCCAGAAATTCAACACAGAGCCAACACTTAGAACAAGTTCCCTGTGCTTTCCTTAGGCACTTCCACTGAAACCAAGTGTGTCAGCTTGTGTACTCCAATACAGGGGAGCATCCATTTCCATCACTACACAGTAAATGAAATGCCATTGCTTCTCTGTCTCCTCTACTATAATCCGTTTCCTTACTGAAATGTTTTACAGTGCTGGCACATACCAGGATTTGTAAGAATGCATCAAATACTTGAGCTGACAGAGAACTGGTTTGATGCCTCTCTGCAAACACAGTGAAGCAAAGCTGGCTCTGGACTCACCTTTTACTGATGAGGCTCCAGTGTTTGTCCCTAAGCAGCAGGGAACCTTCGTGATATGCAATAAAGTCTAAACCAGCATTTTTCAACAACACTAAAGATAAACATTACCAAGCACATCGCTTCTGAGTTGAGTACAGAAAATAATTTACAGGAGTCACTTCCATATTTAGTTCTTGTTTCATTATGGTTATTACTGAACTGAATTTGTGCAGGGTGACTTCACACATCACCAGGATGCTGCAGAACTCTGTGCATTAAGAAAATAGCTGCTGCTGAAGTTTCCCACCAGAGTTGACCCCTGCATCCAAGTCATCCAATTCTAGATGGCCAGCCAAATACTGTCCATGGAGCTGCAGGTGCCAAAATCTGCTCAACAGTTGCTCATATCTGACCATGATCAACTCAGGTTGCAGGAACAGCTTTCAGAGCTGTGAAAAATTTGCTTTTGACTGAAGTGATTATGTATCAAAGCCTGTTAGCCATTCTCCTCAAAAACTAATGACGAAAAATTAACCTGGGCTGTGATGAAATCTAATACTTCACAGGCGAATTACACCGTTATCTGAAAGCTCCAAAGAAGATGGAACTCTTTCTTTTTTTTTTTTTTTTTTTTTTTTTTTTTTTTTTTTTTTGCTAGATGCTATACAAATGCAGAAAGAAGAAAATAAACTGAAGAGTTTCTAGCTTAGTTTTAAATAAGATACTTCAAAGAAGCTTTACAAATAAAGGAACTAAGAAAGAAGGAAGAAGCCACCTGATTCCAAACACTTGCTGTGAGCAAAACAGGAAATTTTTGAATTGCCTTTTATTTCAACCCACACTACCATGTCTCACTTTCTAAGGCAGGAGGAAAGGCTCCACCTCGAAGAAACCTGTCCCTGCCCGAGGACACGATGGTGGGTAGGAAGAGGACAAGCACAACTGCAATAACCCCAGCAGCAGGAGAAGCAGCCTGGCATCATGCAGCTACAGGACTGTGAATAATAATAATAAAAATTCAGAAAGTCTTTATGGCTTTTGCTGTGCAAAATAAGCACAGAACTGACACAAGAAGGGACTGATGAATGGATAGACAAAGGTAATCATATTTATTAAATAACGAAAATCTGCTGATGTAGCAAAAGGCAGACGGAGAGAGATGAAACTCAACAAAACTCAGGGGTAAGAAAACACAGGAATAAATAACTCCTTAAGGAGTTACTTTGTGCAAGACAGACAAATAAATAAAATGGATCTCTATGAGTATGTGGGATGATGATTATGCATTTCCCACGAACAATATCTGGAAGAGATGTCTAAAAAGGAGCAAAGACCAGAAGCCCACCAGGCAAGCAGCAGAAAGGAAGAAGGGGCAAAGAGTCCCACAGGGATACTGGTGGAGGTAGCCCCTGTAGCCCCTGGGTGCTGCTGCAAAAGCATGCCAGAGAGAGACAGGCAGACAGGAGGGAGGAGAGTCCAGAAGGGGCTGGAAGTGGGGATCAAACATGAGCTGGAGACAGGGAGGAGGGAGGGAACTCAGGGGAGCTCTGCCTGCTCAGGAAGGTTGCACAGTTTCTAAGCAGAGCAAAGGGGCTGCATAGTGACAGGATGATGACCTGATAATGTGGTAGGATTTTAGAAAGAGCGGAAGGATGCGGTACCTGCAAAATAATATGCATGTATGATTTAAGCAAACTCATGAGTTTTTGTACTCTGTTATTCAAACATCTCAGTTGCATCAAGTTTAGACACAGCATCCCATTTATCTTGGCACAACTCAAATCCCTAAATTATCTGTCTCTTCAGCCTCCTCATAAGAACTTCACTTCGAGCTTTGTTAAAACATGAAGTAGCCAAGAAACTGTTTTACAAACAAATACCAGCCTAGGCAAAGGTCTAACCCTGGGGCAGGGTGTGAGGGAAGCCCGGTAGGCAGGACTGCAGAGCCGCCTCCAGCTGCCACTGCCCTGTGGCACCCACTCCTTCTTTCACTACTGGAAAGCTGGTGCAACACATGCAATTCTCAGCTATGCTGGGAAGTCCTGAGAGCATGATAAATATGTACTGGTTAGAATATCTTGTGCCATTGACTCAATATTGTGAGCTCCCCTCTCCAGCCCAAATTTAACCATTCTGGAATAAATACTGCTAAGGGGAAGGTGATGACCTCGGCCTTTCACACAGACAGCAAAGGGCACAGTGCTGCTTTCCACACAGTGACCCTGCTTTTCATCACTTTCATGTCATGTGAGTGGCAAAGGCAGCTAAGTCAGAGGTGTTTCCTGGTGTTTCCCTCTGCTCTCCCTCTCTGCCCTGAGTTTCCTCCCATTCAGTGGAGACTGGCTCATTTTGCTTTGAAAAACTGGGGCAGAAGAAGAAAATGGTGACAGGGAGCACGTGCTAGCAATGAGAAAACACAAGCTGCTAACATGGCTCACCCACCAGTCTGAAACACTGGAAGCCCTGAAAATGAGACAGGGGTTTATTTTTAACATCTGTGTCAGATCTCTTTGCCTTTTAAAGAGTGTTGTGGGGCTGCTCGGGCCCCTTATCTGCTCAGTGGCACTTCAGTGAGCTGTTCCAGTGGCTGTCTCTGCAGCAGTGCCTAGGAGCCTGAAAGATGGAGTGTCCCCCCACCACCTCACCTCAGCAAGTGCCGTTCACTCTGGTAAAGTGATCCACTAAGAAATACATAGACAAGGAAACATAGCATGTTGCAGATTGTAAGGAAGAGCCTCACAATGTCCACAGATGCATGACAACACATAGAATTTCACTTCTATTTCTTTGGGCTCAAGAGAAAATTAAGTATATTAAGCATAAAACTTATAAAGTAAGCTTTAAACTAAAAAAGTAATAAAAAAGGTTTTTATTTCCTCAATGAAATATCCTTAGGCTAGGAGATCCTACCTAGGAGTCAAAAGAAAATTTTAATCCTCCCATTCAAACTGCCACACAAATTGTGATGAAAGGATGCAGCACTGGGAAATAAAGAACTTGCTGATCATATTAATCCTTCATCTTCCATTCAGCTTCCTGCACCAGTATCCTGTTTCCTTTCTAACAGCCAACAATGCTCCTCTATTTCCTTATGTGATCCTCCATAATGCTATCATGTCAGACTTAAAAGCAACACTTCTCAGTTACTAAATGGATCTTCTAATTTTTGTTTAAGATTCTAGAAGAGCTCTGACATCTACCTGCAAATAGTGTCACCATACACCCTAAAAGCCTGTTTCCTGGTTCATCATGGAATGGCTGCTTTGCACAGAGACCCTGCAATCCTTTTGGTTCAGTCAGACTGAACCCACTCTTGACAGGACCACGGGCGCACCTGTGGGACAGAGACCCTAGAGCCCACCGCTGAGTGCCATGGACTGCAACAACACTGTTTGCATTTCTATTGTGCATATTCTTATATAGCAGACAAAAGAATTACTTAGTAAGAGAGTGCTTTACTACTGAAAGGTGTCAACCATTATATAACCACATTTTCCAAAACAGAGAAGCTAGTGCAAGCTAAACTTGTCATTTTACTCAAGAAAGGACAGCTACAGTGAAGAATTTTGCTTTGCTTCAGAAAATTCTACAGTACTGGTTTGTAGTTAACTACTGTGAAGGTTCCTGCATAGTACAATTCTTTACTAGATCAAATCAGTGAAGCAGTTTTTTTAGACACACTGACACTTGTGAAGGTTTAAAGAACTCAAAACTAAAATAGTTCCAAGTGCCTGAGGGTTCCCCTGGTAGTACTTCTGGAAAGGACATACTAGGTCAGAAGCCCTCAAAGGGCCTTTTTGTCTCAGGCAAAGTGGGCAAGACCAGTATCATTTGTGCAGAGCTGTACCAGTGTGCCTGGTTAAATAAATAAAATTCAGGTCACCTGCATACATCAACTCAGGGCTAGATGACCCACGCCTCTATTACTTTACAACTAACACAGTTATCACCAACACAATTAGTCTTACCTTATTGTAGTACTGCACCTGAACCGAGTGCCACTGCCCATCGCTGACCCCTCCCGGAATGAGCGGTGCCACTGTAGTGGTTGTCTCCCCTGGAAAAACAGGAAACAAATAAGTCACCGTCACTGCAAGAAACACAGAGAGACTCTTGTTGGGTGCAAGATGCAGCCACCTTGCTTCATCATGGAGGAATTTGGGGTTTTGTCCCCCAAGACAGTAAACATCCCCAATATCACAGAGCTATTCTGGTGCACAAATACCAGCTTCTGCAACATTTGAGTGAATGATGTTACTTCTTATCATGCTTCTGCAGAGCACAGTAGCAGATCCATAGGCAGATATAGCTGTTGATAAAAAATGTACATGAATTTTTCTGCATTTCTGCCCAAAGCACCACTTTGAGGTTTGTTTAAAATGATGAGCACTGTGATGGGATCTTTTGTCAAGGAAGGGAGGCCTACTCTTTCACAGAGCTGCAAAAGTGAAATCCAAAAGTACTCTAATATAAAACTTGGTCCCAGCAAAATTTTACCAGTGATTAATGAAATTATTGTCAGCCTTTCTGTATTTAAATCTGAAAGCAAGTCTTTGCCATTGTAAGTGGAAAGCTGAAGCTTTTAAGCCAGGACTGAGTCAGCAGAGCCAACTCAGTAACCAGGCATATCTGTTTCGAGGTAGCAGCAAAATAAACATTCATGTTGAAAGTACACAATAGGCCTGGCACGGAGAAGGGATTGCTAGCTTTCAACTTTTCTTTTTTTTTTTTCTGTTTCTTTGGTGTTGTTTTGTTGGTGTTTTTTTTTTTTACGTTAAAACATTCTACATAATAAACAATGGGAAAAGTACCTCCCCTCTGTAAGCTAACAAAGTTCATAGTATCGTTGAGCTTAAAATGTACTTTCTCTCTCTTTGCAACAAATACCTGTGTGAAGTGTTACTCCTGCGTCCCCTACTCTCCTTTAACTCCCATCCTAAATATTGCTGTTATTTAAACATTTTCTGCTTAGCATGTATGACATCCTGCTGTGATGGATTTTGTAATTTAGTGATAAAAAATCTGTGCTAATAATCACGCTTTTTATTCAGCTATCAAGTTTCTGCATAAGGAAGTTCACCATTCTGCAATCCTTTTGCTTTGCTTTCTGAGAAAAAGTTGTTGCGACAGGTAAAACAGTCAGATTAGGTGTCCAAAACTTGTATTGTTCATTAAAAGCCACTTAAAACTATAAAACATAAACCATTCTCCTTCCAAAGAAAATACCATTTGTAACATACAGGACCAGACCTGTTCTCAGGTGCAGCAGTACAAATCTAAATTTAGTTTCATGTATTTTAAAGGAGTTGCTCCGCATTTAAATGCATATAAGTGCAAGCAGAATTTATTTTTTTTCCCCATTCATCCTCAGGGTACCTTCCAAGCAATTTCGTTCAAGTTTGGACACGTGGAGCAGAGCTAAAGAAGAAAGCACATCTCTCTGACTGCAGCATGTTCTTTCATTACACTAATCCATTCAAAAACCTGCCTTAAAATCTAATTTGGACAACTCCAAGGTAATAAATGGGAAATGAAACCAGATACTTTCAACCCAAAGGGCCCAAATATGCACTTAAGCATTACTGGTAAATCAATGGGGTCACACAGGATTTACCATGGGGTCTGAGGGAAGCAGCCAACACTGTTGATGAGTGTGCAACACCTACGTGGACTGTGCCTTTGCTTATATGGCTTTACCGCTTGCAGTATCTCACTCTCCACAAAAATAAAACAGGAATTGACTCGAGCCCGCATGTCTATCCTGAATGCAGATAATGGGAAATAGCAGGATTATTTCCCGAATTACATGCCAGTCCAGAGGCACAAACATCTCACTTGATCTATATCTTACTCCACTTGACTTACAGGACAACAACCCTTCTCAGATACTTGTTTCTGTCTCAATGGAAAAATACCCTACACCTGTGACAACTAGAGGTTGTCTGCACTGCTGAGCTTTCAAAAGTCACCAAAACCTGGCCACTGAATGCACAGGTATGTTTCTGGATAGTAGCAGGAATGCAAGTAGTCCGCTGAGAGGGACTTCAATTTACTGACATCCTGGGAATGAGTCCTGATGGCTTCAATGAACTTTGACCACACTGCACAGCAGCATGCTACCAGCTTCCCTGATATCCCTCGTCATGGCAATTAGCACAGCTGAGCCTGAAGTTTTGGATGAAACTTGGGCTTTTTTAACTTGAGAAGCAGCCCTCTGTTCAGGCTGGAATTGTCAGGGTTTGCTCTGATCACACTTTCGTCAGGAAAAACTTGGTTGCCGCCAAGGCTTGTTTTCTGGAGAAAATCTCTACCCTGGGAGAATGCCATGGTGACAGGGATATGTGCCACCCTGAGCTTTGCTTGTTGGCCTTACCCTCTCTCTTCTCCTACAAGCACTGGAAGACACTGGCTTAGTCCGAGTGCATAAACACAGCGAATGCCAAAGCCTCCATTTCTTGTTTCCAAGCCCATCACAGCAATGAGCAGGCAGCTAAGTTCTCCTAAATTTGTTGTTGTTTATGACCTCTTCTCAGAGGAGGTCTTTCTGCAGTGCAGAAGTGCATTCCAGCAACAGCAGTGCTCCTCACAAATCCCTAATGAATGGCAGGCAGTTTTCACTTTGCTAGCTTTTCCTTTGGCTTGTGTGGATTCTTTAGATAACATTTATGCACCTACGTTTCATTGATGGTGTAGTGTAAAAATGCATACAACATTTATCAGAGTGTGATAAAATGAAGTCTCATTTAAGCAAACATTGGCTTGGAGGCCAACATTCAGGCTAGTGCCAATCTTTTATAGTAGTCATAAACTCTGCCTTTTATAACTGATATGTTGACAAGCTCCTGCCTACGACAGCAAATGTAACCACCACAAACCGCTACAATCTGGAGTACTTCACAACACCTGGCATCAGTTGCTCACTGTGCAATATCAGCCAGTAAATTAATGAGGCAGCAAATGATCATATAAAATCAACGAAGTGCATTTCCAAATGGCTTGAGAGGATCTCCTGACCACAAGCAGAAATGCTCAACTCAAGCAAGACCTCACCCGCAGAGAAGGTGAGCTGGATCTGCTCCTCAATAATCTCCAAGGCAATGAAGTCGTGCTTCTCATTGAAACGCCCATTGTAGAGGAGGAGAGCATTCCTCTCCCTGGTTGCAAACCTAGAACACAGAGATGTGGGGTGAGTTCATGCTCTTATGGATTAAAGACCGACGGTCAAGTCACCCAGGAGAAAGACAGCATTGTGTTCAGCAGATAAATGAGCCTTTGAATATCTCTTCAGACAGAAAATTGTAAAATTGAGGAGTCAGCCACAGGATAAGTCTACTCTTTCACAGTCAACAAGGCAAGCAAGATGGAAATTAGAGAAATCTACTCTTCAGAGATCTGCTATGGATGCTGACCCTCACAAGGGCTAAAATTAGGCAGACACAAGATGCAGTGTCAGTATCTGACCCTCGACAAACAGTAGCACTTACTACACTCTGCAAACAGTCCAAAAGCTAGAAAGCATTTTCACATCAAAGGAGGGATACTTGCTGACTGCTTGCTGTCTACAGGGTACAAGGAGAGTCATCAACTGATTAAAAAAACCTGATGGGGAGGCAAGGGAAAAGAAAGATAAGAGTTGCTTTAATAACACCATGTAGACAATCAGGGTTCATCAATCAACAGGTCAGCCAATTGGAGGAGGGAGAATAAACACTTAAATGATTCCACTAGATCAGCACAAATGGGTGGGTTTTGGTTTTATTTTTCTTATGCTTCAAATATGGGATGTATCACACCTTTCTTGCAGAAAAAGGGCCAACCCCACTTTTAAAAAGGTCTGATTGGTTTTTTTTTGTCAGCGCAGAACATTTTTTTGCAAATTTCTGTATGTCGTATAATTTTTAATTGAATCCTTATATCTCTGGAGAGCTGCACACAGCTTTCATCTACTTAGAAATGCAAAAAATATTATTACACTTTACATAAACATTTTAACAAAGATTAATATTAGATAAAGAGAGAAAAAGAGAGAAACCATGGGAATTTCTTGTGTTTCCCAATGGCAGTGCAATCTGATTTTTTATCTTGAACTTCAGGAAATATGTCTCGATTTAAATTAACCCACTTTTCCTACAAATGAATCAAATGCTGAGCACAGCTAATGAAAACTGTCTTCCATGGAGAGAGGAAATTACTCTTATACCTGTCATGTCCCATCTACTAGCAAGACTCTCATATGATGCAACAAAACATGCATTCAGAGAATGTGAAAGAAGCAGTATTTTAGAATATCAGGGTATCTGAAACAAAAAGTTTCAAAACCAAAGAATATTTTTTAACAAAAGCTGTTTGTCAGATGTGTATGTTGCGGATCACATTGAGTAGAGACTTTTCAGAATCTGAGCTACATGGAAATGGGAAATTTTATTTATAGATTTTTTTAATATTTTTGAAGGGCAATTGATTGTTCTGGTTCAAAAAACAGAAGTCAAAATTTTGACATTTCCAGTAAAATACAAATTTCAAAGAATATGTGTTACAGTCCATCAAAATATTATATGATTGTTTTGATTACTTTCAATCAGTTTTGCTAGACATATTTATTTCTAAATTGTTTAACGTAATATAAAATAATATTACGCAAGTAAAAGGCAAACTAAATTAATTATGACAATACCATTGAAATATTTCAGTATTGCCAAAACATGGATTTAGTTTTCACTTTTCACCATCAAACATTTCATCCCAAGGAATACAGTCCCTGTAAAACATTTCCCAAGACTATATTTTTTCAGGGATAACTGCTCCATTAAAATATTTTGATCAGATCTGTCCAGAATACATATGAGCAAAGGAAATGGGAATAATATTATTCTTATAATTGGGAATAATATGCTTCTTCAGTGGGCAGAAAGACTTAATTTGATTAGCAAAAACAGGAACCTTAGTTCTGTTTGAATATATTTTTCTCATATGATTACAATTCTCTATCATAATTTTAAGTATGAAACTATTGTTTATTAAGCTATTAAATTATTGAGCTATTTTGTATATTTCTTTACTCTGTGCTTACTTTCATCTTTTGTACTATACTTCTTGTTAAACCACTACAGCCTTCGAACTTGTTTGGTTATCACTAACTGTGGGAAAGATACTGTTTTTAATAGAAGAGATATTTTTAATCTCATGACATAGGAAAGAAAGACACTTCCTTAGAGAGAATTTTGAATAAATAATGAGAAAAACTCCCCACTGGGAGTGTCTCTTGGAGGGAAGGAGTAGTAAGTGTTGAAATAAGCAAGGAAGATGTACAATGTTGGGAGCAGAAAGACATGCCTGGTCAGTAACATAAATACTTTAAAAAAACCCCAAAATGCCACGTTTTAATTACAGGACTGAATAATGCAAACATCCTGCTCTTTGCCAGGAACGGGTCATGAGTCAGTTGACGCTGAAGGAAGTTAGACACTTTGGGATTTTACCAGTGTTCCCAAATCACAAAATATATAATGGCAAATCATCATCTAGTCAAACTGCTAATTCTTGCTTATCCTCACATAATGTTTTCCACTTACACTGAATGATAATAAAAGCCAAAGAGGTAGTGAGTGTAAATAAAAGTGTACTTGGTATGTAAAGCTAAATGTGTTGCTATTCTAGACAGTGTGGGATGAACCCTGTGATTGTCTAGACTTTTAATCATACTCAGTGGACTAAATGGTGTTTAGCTCATGACTAAATGTGCCATCGTGGTTCTAAAGACGGTAAAGAAACCCTGGTGTAAGCCCTACCTTGGTATAGTAGTTTGCTATTTCTCAATAACCTCTACACAGAGCATTTGAGTCACTTTAACTTGAAGTACCCTGAACGTCAAAGATCTCTTCCTGAAAGCCTGAAAAATGACACCTCACGGCTGAGGGGACAAGTCAAGGGTAGTGGAGGCAATCCATGCTGGCAGCTAGCCCAGACCGCTCCTTTGTTTGCACTCACTGTAGGGTCTGACAAGCCCAACAGAGCCTTTTGCTCCTCAGTTTTTCCGTGTACTTAGCTCTGATGCTCTAAAATAATCTTCACGGGCACAACTCTCCCTTGCCTTGGCTCATGTGCAAACCATTCCTGATTTAACCAAAATATCAAGATCCCATAAAGTTCCAGGTTTCAGGATTAATGCAGAAAAAAGATAAAATGATAGAATCATAAAATGATAGACTGGTTAGGGTTGGAAGGGACCTTAAAGACCGTCTAGTTTCATCCAGGTGTCTCTGAGCAGGGACACCTTCCACTAGGCCAGGTTACTCAAAGTCTAATCCAACCTAGACTTGAATGCTTCCAGGAATAGGGTATTACTTACCTACATTAAAAGAAGCATTACATGGGGAATCTATCTGGCATATTAGTTCAGGAAAGTAAATCATGCTAAAGGACAGTACTGGAAAATATGCTGGAAAGAAGCGGCCTGACAGATGTAAAACAGATGTAAAATGAGTGGGTGGTGGATGGGACACATACCTGAAGGTGTCCTCCTTGAGCACTTAACTTTCTCTGGACAGACACACAAACACGTCTGTCCTTGCAGCTGCTGTTGTACCTCTTAACAAATCCCTGGCCCTGCCCTTTGGGGTCAGGACTAACACATTTTGTGCTGTTTACTCACAGTCAACTGAGAGGGAAAACCAAAGGTCAATCCTGACCAGCTAAACCATGGGAAAGCTGCAAACCCACTCCCTCCCGAGAGAAGGGGCATGTGTGCACATGGAGCTCTGGCTCCACACCAGGCAAGCCCTATGCCTGACTCAAGAAGTCTTCTCCAGAAGAGGGATTTTTCTCAGGGGAGGGAGAGCCCTAGGCCACGCAGTGTGGTTGGTATCATTGCTCCCCTTTCCCTCCCTGAGCACCTCCAGGGGAAAAGTCACAGACAGGCCGGAAGAAGACTGCCCAGTATGGGGATACAGGGCAGATGGGATGGGGATGACACTGCTCGTGACTGGCAGCCAGGATGGGACCAGAAGCAGGACTTGAGTGTGAAGGTTGGGAGTAGCAAGTTGAGGAGATGGACCAGTTGCGGTTGTCACAAGCCAAAAGCTGGAAACCAACCAAGAGCAAGGAGCTCAGGAGGACCATCCTGTGCTCAGCCATGACCTGACATGCCCAGGTTCTCTCACAGGCTGGAAGCAGAAGACAGAAAGAGCACTCTCAAGCAAATAGCACAAATGGATTGGCTCTGCAGCCAGTCTGAAGGTCAGGAGGCCCAATTAGGAAAAGAGTCAAACCCAACACACACCTCAGCACTTCTGCAGCTGAGGGCTGCTGAGAGCTGGCCAGGGAGGTCCTGATGTCCCCTCTCCCCGCCCCATAGAACTGAATTACAACAGGGAAAGCTGTGAGTCAGAAAGTCAGCAGCATCCTCAGCAGGGTAGAAATAAAATGCTTTCAAATAACATGCCTGTGCTCTGCTCGCAGGAGTCGCTGTCAGAAATGCCCCAAGTGACCTTCACAGGTAGGCCTTCGGAGGGTGGCAGTGTGCAACAAACAGCCCCAAGCTCAAGCGAGAAGCCACCAACCACAGAACCCTTCCCCACGAGGACTTACATGAGGGAGACGGTGAAGTGGAAGCGCTGCCGCAGCCCCTTGAAGGTGATGAAAGACTGGGGGGGGAAGCTCCTGGTGGTCATCTCGCAGTAGGGCCGCTCGTACTCGCCGGGGGGGCACTCACACTTGAAGCCCCCAATCAGCAGGTTCACGCAGGTTCCTCCATTCTTACACACCCCTGGAGCACAGCGGCCCGAGCGCGCATTCACCTCGCAGTACTCTCCTGCAAGGGGAGAGAAAAACATCAGGGAAGGTGACACCTCACCCCAGCAACAAGCTGTGACATTCAGCTATCCAAGTGGTTCTGCTACAGGTTAAGCTTCTTCCAAACTCCTGCACTGACCCCTCCTGCAACTGAGGTACAAGACTGTCATTGATGGGGGGTAAGGATGCCACATCCTCTTTCAAGCATGAATTTTCAGTGGTGTGCAGGATATGATTTGCTGAGCAATCCTCTTGCAAATACCTAACACTGGCTTTGGTTTTCAGATTCCTTGGCTGCTTCCTAACTGGGTAACAAATATAAAACTGGTGACAATCAGCTCTTAATGGAAGGGGATAAAAAAACCCTACACATTCCCTGTCAACCAAAATTTATGTAAATAGTTTTGGTGTTTCACTATGGTTGGAAATTTTGTAAATAGATAAATGTTTGTACCTCACCTTCAATGGAATTTGGCTTTGCTGCCCATGGCAGAGGCAGGGTATAGCTGACCTCATGATGAAGCTCTCCAAACATTTGAAGCAAGAATAAGCAGAATACAGACAACATATAGATTGCTTCTACCTTTTCCCACATATGCATTCTGAAGGTGAAGGCCATTTTCTGAACCCTTTGGAGATGGGCACATTAAATTTCCACAGAAGTTATGGATTCTGTGTGCCACTTGCTGAAGTTGTTTCCCCCTTAAATGCTTTGTCTTTATTAATCTTCAAAGTATGTATTATGATGTGTTAAATGCAATACTAAAGAATGAGGTGTCTTTCTTTGTACATATGCCATGGTTTTTTCCCCTCTGTTTGCCCAAAATCTGAGAATTAATCACAATTTTAAAAAAGTAATGTACAGAGGATATTCACTTTAAAAAATATGCTGCAGTTGGGACAAAAGCAGCTGCTGAATTAATCATTGTACAGAAAGCTAAACCCTCTATGTGAGTTAATTAGTTAACATTTATGTTTTGGCATGTGTCTTCCTAAGGTATAAAGCACGTTCACATCCTGCAAGTAAAACTGTTCAGAGAAACTGGAGGTGGCATATATAGTTGAATTTCACCCAGTAACAGTGTCTGACAAACAAACGTAGAGCAAAACAACTCAATACATCCAGCTGAAGGAATACACTACCAACAGCTCAGTGTTTGCATGATTATTCGCTATCAGATTATACAATTACATCGGGACAGGCTCTTTCCAGTGTTGCCCATCAACGGGACAAGGGGCAATGGGCACAGAGTGAAACACAGGAAGTTCTGAGTATGAGGAAAAACCTTCTTCCTTTGAGGGTGACAAAGCATGGGAACAGGCTGCCCAGAGACATTGTGGAGTCTCCTCTGAAGGTATTAAAAACCCATCTGGACAAGATCCTGTGCACCCTGTTCTAGGTGAACCTGTTTTAGCAGGGGGTTGGACTAGATGATGTCCAGAGGCCCCTTCCAACCCCAACCATTCTGTGATTCTGCTTCTGTGATTAATTCAAGCACAAATAAAACCGTGAAAATGCATTCCTGCAGGAAAGTAAAAGTAGCAGGAGCTGTGGGCAGTGACTCACAAACAAAGGCAAACTTAAACAGAAAATTTTGCTCCAGTTGCCGCCCCCACAGCCCTGCTCCCACAGGTTCCCACGCCAAAGCTGCCCACACTGGGTGGCACACTACAGCCAGCAGTACTGCTGCATCCAGACATGGATCTGCATCACTTTTCTGTTCCAGGCTGTAAACTGTGATGGCTTGCAGTTGATTTAGCCACTGCCCCAGGGGTAACAACCTCTGAGACAAGGTGAACTGGGCAGCCTGACTGTTTTGCTTCTCCAGCTTTGCTGCCTTTCTCGTCTCACATCCACATCAGATGCCTCTCAGACAGGTATGATTTAAGCTGGCAGAATGCAGGAGCAAACACAAGACTGCTATGATCAGCAGCCAGACAAATGCACACCCCATCCATGTTGGGCTCAGCTCCGAGGATGGACCTGCTCTGTGCATTACTCTGAAGTAATAAACCATAGAGCCTTGAGTTCAACTTACAGTCTGTACTTAGAGCTTTTCTGATTCAGCACTGATTTTCCCATATTCTCACTTTTACATTTTACATGAAACGCTGTGACAATTACTTGATAAATATCTTCCTGTTTCCAGTTGGTTAGAGAATGGTGCTAATAACACCAAGGTCATTGTTTGATCCCTATACAGGCCAGTCACTTAAGAGCTGGACTTGATGATCCTTGTGGTCCCTTCAAACTCAGAATATTCTATGACTCTATGATTTATCAGCTCTAAGTATCAGGCAAGATTACGTGAATACACTTTCCTTAATACTTTAAAATGCTCTACAATGTGTTTCTTTTGGGAAAAAAATTGTATACATCATCCAAGACAGAAAATTCCCTCAATGTATTGGATATGCAACACAAAGCACACACACAAATCAGATGCTTCAAAGGACACTACAAAAAACGCTTGCTGGTGATCCACTGCTTAAGCACAGCCAATCCTCTTTACACACATATCTTGTGTACCAAAACTCTCCAAAAAAAAGGAAAAATGCAAATTCCTATAGAAAGATTAAACACAGGTTTGTTGCTTAAAAAAAATAGTAGGATATTTTGTGAAATAACTCTCCAATTCACAGAAGAATGTAATCTTCAGGGCCTTCTGAGAACAGAATGATTTATTTTGTAAAAGCAAATAACATGCAGGCTTGAATACACACAGAGAAAAAGGAGTGTGCTAAAAGGAGAGATTCCTGGCATTGCAGCATGCTGTGGAAATGCCATGGCAATACAGAGGTGAAATATAAAAGCCTAAGTTGAAAGTCATTGATGGCTCTGTATTAATCCTCTAATATAACAAGAATGTATAGACCATTTGTTTAGATATCTATACAGGCATAAAACTATTTAAGAGAAAAGAAAGCTTACAGAAATATTCTATTGAATTATGTTTATTACAGTTTTTCATTACGGTGTTTAAAGATGTAATTCAAAAGAATATACTTCAACTTTAAATAAGATCCTTTGTCCTATATTCATTCAGCTATAGCATCATTGATGTCCCAGTTACTAAAATTATTCTGAATTCTCTTTAGTCTGTAATGTAAATGAGAACTGGATTTGATGCACATTCTTTGATGTTAAATTTTCATATTTTATGTGTATTTACCAAAATATATTAAAATAGTGGTTTTGAAATCTCTACAGTAAATCCAAGGCATCACTGTGCTTCAAGGCACAAAGGTTACCAAAAAACCTGATAAATCCGTAATTACCCTTTTTTCCAAAAGTGCCCAGAAAGACTTAAAGCATTTTTGCCTTTACAGAATAGCCATCTGAGCAAGAATTTGAAACAGTGCTTTGATCAGGATTGTCAACAGAAGGCACCTTTGTGTCGCTCTTGGGTTTGTCACTTCCAAGGGTGGCCACCTCCTCCCGGACACATCACTGTCCCATAGCTCTGCCCTGCAGGCACTTTGAGGCACAGCCTGAAAATCATCCTCAAAACTTGAACCAAAGCCTGCATGAACTTGAAGGAAGAGCTGGTTGCTGTCTGGAGCTGGGAGCCAGAAAGCCCTAAGGGAAGAGCTACTTGAGGAGCAGAAAAGGAAGGGAACTGCACCAGCCAGCCTTTGGGAATGAAAAGCTCTTGTGTGCCTCCTTGCAGCTGAAGGTCAGAGGGCTGGGATGCACCATCAGAAAGGATGTCTTACAGTTCAGTAGAAAAAAATACTACAGAAGAGGGAGAGCTGCTGTGCAGTGAGGGTCTGGAGGGGCTGGGGTGATAAAAGCACAGCCCAAATAGCCACTGGTCACAGCCTGGAGTCAGTCTGTGATGCTGGCTCAGCCCTCACCCAGGCCATGAAACTCCCCTTTGCCTCTCATTTCTTTGGCTAATACAATTTCTTTTTTCACACTGGTCTGCATTTTAGGAATCACTAACTAAACTAGTTACGGATCACAGCTCTGTGAAATCCAAGCAGCAGATGTGAAGCATCACCCCTCCAGCTGCTAAAGCTAAAGCATGCACTGTCAGATAACACGGGCCATGGCTGCCCGTTATCTGCTGGCAGATTCCTGGGCTTTGAAGAAGTTCCAGCCCTTGCCAGAAAATATTTTACTGTTACACGACAGTAGCTAATCTTATAGGCTCCCAATTAATACTGATGACTCTTAAAGCTTTTCCGCAGCCCTTTATGTAGTGCTTCCTGGTTTTAAAGCCCTTGAGATCACAATGCAATGGTTGCTTTTGATGCTGTGTCCTACTCAAGAACATCCTGTCTTTAATATATACCTATCCTCTTTGATTTTAGGACTAACTTTACAAAGATGTAATCATTAAATTTCTGTTATTAACTTCATGTAAGTAAGGACACCACAACATCAGAAGCAAGATAACAAGAACATGCAAAGCCAAAGTCTGGCTGGAAGATTTTGTCTTCCTCTGACCTATCCAAGTAAAGTAATGAGAGTTTAACTAATAAATAGTAAATAGTGATAAAAAAGGGAAAAGAAACACAAACTATCTTAAAAATCAGAAAATAATCTCACAATTGCAAATGCCTTGTGAGCTGAACATTGTGGGTTTCAAACAGCACACTGGTGTGCAGCAATGACCTGGGCTTTCAAGAAATCTGCCTGTGGTTTAGCTGGTGAGTTGCTTGACCTTACAACAATGTTTAACGTTTGAAAGCTTGCTGGAAACAATGTGATGGCATCCAAATAAATACAGAATTCCTCTATACATCAATTTTATGCAGTGTGTTTTCCCAATATCCTGGTTTAGGGACTAGTTCTCAAAATTTTGCACTATTCTCCAATTGTTTTCAACTGAAATACCATATTAAATACATATTTACATGAAGAAGCAGACCTGCTCTGATGCTCTTGGTTTTTTTTTTCCCAGTTTCCCTGCACACATGTTAATTTTTCACTATCTGTAATTGTTTGACTTGAATTGATTCTTTTCTCCTTTCCCTTATCCTGCCATTTGCTCTAGACACATAGTAATCTATATTAACATATTAATCTCTATGTTTACAGTTGCTTTACCAGAATTGAAAGCATTCTGAGAAGATGATTTAAGCAGTCCACCTAAAAAAAAAAGATATATTTTAAAGTAAAAAGGAAAATCAATAAGAATTAAGGAAAAAGGAGAAACAATAAGAAATAGGACAA